AACCGACTTTAAAAAGGAGGCTGTCAGTTTGACCTGTATGTATGTATATATGTTCGCGATTATCTCACGATTGGCTATACCGATTTTGATGATGTTTTTAGAAAAGTGTTTGTTACACTTAGGAGAAGGTACCTATATTAATTAACAGACTTAAAAAAGGGGGACGATAGTCGGTGTTTTTAACGTAGTTTTTAAAAGAATCTTTTAATAAGAATATCAGTCATTGAAATGCTAACGCAAATGCGAGAAAGGGTGCAATCTAGTGATTCCCAATACAACCTGAAAGAGGTCAGATCTACAACCGTTTTTGAGCTTGCAATTCCTATTTTCGAGAAACTTTTCCCAACATCAATAATACCTACCAATGCCAAGATGTAGGTACTTGATTACTCTGTGTCTGATTATTTAGCTGATAAATTGTAACTGTGTCAGCATATGTCTGATGATGAACCTGTATCAATGTTTGCATGCCAAAATCAAAATGGTAGAATGTACAAGGATAACTTATTAGTGTTTTAATATCACCTTATTGTAAATACCTGCATTCTGAGCAAATAAATAATTATTCTATTCTATTCTATTCTTGTACGACTGTACAAGAGAAATTTTGTGTGCCCCATGCATTGGTTTTTCTATTTATTCAATTAAACTTAGGTATGTCTACACCAATTGGGCAGCAGATCCGTAAGTAGATACTTACATTGTCGAACCGACACTACTTATACAAGCCGTTCCTATCGTTCTCAAAATTATTAGGCATAATATTTGATGTAAGATCAGAATTGTTTAAATAACTATTTTCAAAACATCAGTGTAAATGAGTAATAAGTACCTATAATAACCGAGTGAGTAGTTGAAATGCTTTGAGATTATATTATTATTAATGTTTAATGTACTGGCTGGTGCAACCTATGTGTTTCCTAATCGCTTAGATGGAAAAATCAACTAACTAGTTCTATTGTATTATTTTGCAATAATTATATGATTCAGTAATCACAAGGAATATTGCATTAAGTATTAGGTATCTACCGTCGTACCGAAATATCCGCGCGCGCCTCAAAGAGCCATCAGACTACCACAAATGGGGCCCAATACGGCTGATGCCGATAAGGAGCCGCGGAGAACTTAACGGGTTACCGGGGCTCCGGCTCGAAGTGCGGGAGTAGGAACGGGGTGGTTTTTAGTCAGTAAGAGTCTGACACTCCCTCCCGCCTCACCCGGGCGGGAGAAGTCAGTCGCTGATTTTCATAGGGTGATTTTGGTGATTAAGGTGATTTTTGTTCTATTTCAAGAGGCTAGATTTATTTATTGTTCCGTTTGGAAATCAACCCTGTGACACTTTGTTTTCTTATTCCTATGTAGTAGCCGGTCACCCAGCCACTGCAGCCACTATAATTTTAGTATTAAAATAGGAGTCTCTATAGTCTTACTATCTTTCTTCTTACTAATTCTTACTAGTAGATATTATAAATGCGACCGTTTGTGAGTTTGTGTGTATGTTTGTTACTCAATCACGTCAAAACGCTATAGGGATCGGGTTGAAATTTGGAAAAGGGGTAGATAATGGTCTGGAAGAAAACAATTGAAAACAGGCGTAGGGTAGGAACACTGTCGACGCCACTGGCAGCAGCTACTACATTAACCATAAAGACTTAAAACTTTGTATAGGTACGTAGGTATTACCAATTTGATACAAAAATGATACCACCTACTAGGCTTTTCGTGAACCTAAAACTGAATTTATAAGTTTAGTGTTTTTATAACATTATCAAATAGTTAACTGAACATATGAGTGATTAGCTAGAATGCTTTGTCAAGAACAATAGCTTATTTGACATACCTACCGCATTCACTACATTACCTAAATTAATAAAAATTCTATGATACTGAATACCAAAATAATTATATACGTTAAGAAATATTTAGTTATTATCTAATACCTTTAAATGAGCAATTCATAGATATTTATCAACGATATCGGAAACGGCTCCAGAAATTTTTTTGAATTTTGTACGTGGGTTTCGGGAGCGATAAATCGATCTAACTAGGTTTGATTTTTAGAAATAGTTGTTATCTGTGTTTTCATTGAATAAAAGCCCCCTACCATATTAATACAATTTGAAATAATATACTATTAACGTTTAAATAGCTTAGTCGGGATATCGGGTGCCTTCCACGCAGGACACTCGGGTTCATTCCTCTGCCTCAATGTCTGTATTATTTTTTCTGACTTCTAGGTATATTATATTTTGTTTCATTCAATTATTGTACTTTTTGGTAGGTACTATTTTTTGTCCTTGTTTTTAAAAAAAGCCGATTGAAGCTCGGTCATCCAGGTATAGGTACTAAACATATAATTTGCTTAATTATAGGTGTAGGTATGTATGTAGTATTAGAAATAGATAACATTTATGCGAAAATTCGTAATACAAAGTTAGAAATTTATGAGGTGTTTAACCTCATAAAATCATACATAATATGTCCTCAAAAGAATGTTTCTAAACTTCCTGCGATATATTTTCAAACAAGTATACGAAATTAATTTTTACAATAGGTACCTAAGTACTTAATCTAAATTTTTACTAAATGGATAAATTAATAAACACAATTAATTAGGTAACTAATTTTGTATGTTTTCCTTGATAATAATTTAAAGAAATATCAAAAATATTACTACAAACCTATATATTTTCAGTAATAAAACACTCGTTCTCTGCCGTTGTAAATTGAAAATCTTATCAGGAACTGCTGAATATCCACAGTAGGTATAGGTAAATATTGTCGTTAAGTCCTCGACCTAATAAACTGACACTGCTTGATTTTTTAAATCTTGTTATTATCATTTACTACTTGCACACGAAATATTTTGATCCTTGCGCGAGTATCGTTATTTTACGGAAATGAACCGATATGTGAAGCGAGTATCAGTTGGTGCGCGCGAAATTCGAGTCGTTGCGCATACGCGACCGCGAGCCGAAAAGTTTACGCCACACTGGCGCAGCCCTATGCGTGTCCCCTCTCATACGCCATTCATACGGCATTACGTTCTACAATACCAAGGTACCAATAACATCTCCATGTCTCGGTACGCGGTGAAAGGCAAACGCTACTTAGAACATCGAGTCAATAGTCGATACTACTAAATAGGCACTAGGTTCTAGGTATTACGTCGTTCTCTGATCTTATGAATGTAATATGATTAGATTTATTAGATATACTATAGATAATTTATCGTGCAAAGAAAGTTCCTAAGCATTCGTTTATTTCTCGATTCGACGTCTATTTATAAACAAACCTTCAGTCGAGTTAACGACTGAAGGTTTGTTTATAAATAGACGTCGAATTTTTTTCCATGTTATTTAAGTGCATTTTGCTATGTAAATAGGTACCTCTACCTAAGTGCTTAGGTACCCCTTACCCAGCTACCGTATCTATTAGGTAGATACATAACATTACGCCTTTTTATCCCCGAAGGGTAGTCAGAGGAGTACATTACGGCACTGTAATACTTTTCACTATTTATGTTATGAGTCCCATGTAATAGGGGGTGAGCCTATTGCCATATACCGGGCACAAGCCAGACTCCGTGCTACTACTGAAATTTTTGAAAAAACCCAGTAATACTTTGCCCGACCCGGGAATCTTCCTTGCCCGGCAGTCGCACTTGCGACCACTCGGCCGATGAGGCAGTCTGGATATAACTAATAAATAACCAGTGTACAGCTTCGCCAAACTTTAGGGTTGATTTCGACGCCTAACCACAGAATACTAGCCTAACAGTTGGGTGTGGAACAAAGTTGACATTGACAACAGGTAAAGTAGGTACTCTCTGAACTGTATATCAGTACTTAGATCTTCAACTGCATATAAAAAAAGTATTGTACTTAAAAACAGGTAATCAATAGTATTAATGGCGTACCTAATAAATAGTATCAATTAAAATAACATAACATCACGCCTTTTGTCCCCAAAGGGGTTGGCAGAGGTGCACATTATGCCACTATACAATGTAACACCCACTTTTCACTATTTATGTTGTGTCCCATGTAATAGGGGGTGAGCCTTATTCCATATACCGGACACAATTCCAGACAACGTGCTACTACTGTGAATTTTTTTAGTAATACTTTGCCCCTCCCGGGAATCGAACCCAAGACCCCTTGCCCGGCAGTCGCACTTGGGACCACTAGGCCAACGAGGCAGCCTTATTATATATTATTAACAATTAAAATAAAAACACAGAAATCTGCTTAAAAATATTTATTTCGATTTTGAAAGCAAATACAACGATTCTAGTTTCGTGAACCACTTATTGTTATCAGTCTTGTTTATCGAATTGTTCCGACGAATATGCAATGAAACACTCAATGGTGCAGCGCACACCCGCCAGAACATCTCGTTACTAGCCAAGAACTACTGCACAACCCTCAACGGACAAATACAATAAAAAATTAAAAATGCACACATAAGCGTATCGTCACCGAGTATTGACAATAGAAATTCATTAGAAAATATATGAAATATTTAAATAATACTTATTATTTAACATTCGAGTATTCGCGGTGCACTCCCGTGGCGCACTCGTGGTTGTATAACATCGCGATTGAATATAACGAGGTCATAGGGTTGCGTTATAGGATTACACGCTTGAAAAGTGAGAGGAATATGGTGTGATACGTATCAAAATCTTTGAACGCGCACTATAGCGAATAGCTATATATGTAGGTACTATATATGTATGTTCTTTGGCAAATCTTTACAAGGAACCATGTATTGACAATAAAATCGCATTGAATTTCTCTCGGATTTATAAGACTGTTACAATATATTTCAATTTAACATCACACTTCTATGATCAAGTTTTGTTATTATTGTTCAACCTTTATAAGGTGAAATTATAGCAAGATATATTAAAATAAAATGTGCAGACCAGAGCTATGCTAAATACACATATACCAGTCATATCTATAAATTAGTTTTATTGCAAACATGCATTTCTATTTATCAATCTTTAAGATTACTATATTATTTCTAAATGACTATCAATGTCGTCTACTGAGATTCGAGGCACAATTTATGATACTGACAGCTTGTAATCGTAATGAACAGAATGCTATTTTATACAATAATTTTATCAATGTGTTAAATCTATGCAAAATGGTGCAAAAAATGATTAAAAACATCAGACTACCGACTAATGCTTATTCTTCACAAATGCATAAACTTTTTACACAATCACACATAAAATTAACATAAAGTAAAAAAAATCCATTCAAACATCAGCCTTATTACAAATCTAATATCTTGAAGAAGTATTCGACTTCTAGTAATCCATCTTCAGCTAGGTCACTGCAGTGGATGGCGTTCTGAACTTTTGTCTTTCCAAGTTTCGCCCTCAGTGTATAAGGACGCAACAATCTGGCAACTTCCTGCAAGACAAAGTATAATCCAATATGTGATAAAATGACAGCGTACATACATACATGATCATTTGACAGAAACAGTAATGCAAATCATAGCAAGTGGCACACTGTAGTTCCTGTGTACCCCATGGAACAAAGGTTATTTTATTTATACTCTGCTCGGACTCTGCAGATTTTTTGCCTTGCCTGTACATGATTTGATTTGAATTAGTAATTGTAGTACTATCCATCCAGCCAACCTACCCAATTTTTGCATTATTTTGTCTGGAGTTCAATTCCGAGTCTGAAGTCAGGTAAAATAATTTGTACTAAGTTTTGCGATTTTTCAGATAACTTACCGGATCGGCTGGTCCTACTAGTTTCCTAAACTCAACTGCTGTATTGACAGTTTTATCTTTAGACACTATTTCCATTGCTACACAAGGCCCACTCGAAAGCTCTTCCACCATACCCTGGAAATTAAATAGCACCATGATTATCATACAACACATCATTTTAAAGAGTAACTAAAATATAATTCAATAATTATTATGTGACCAGGGAAGTCTTTTATTATAACAACCATACGGAAGACATCGTAAGTTTTTTTTTAAAGAGGAGAAAATCATCGAATGACTTCTCCTACCTGGTTAAGGCAGGAGGGAGTGTCTCTTACTGACTAAAAACCACCCTGTTCCTGCACTTCGAGCCGGAGCACTCGTAACCTTTTACGTTCTCCGCCGCTCTGTATTGGTATCAGCCCTATTGGGGCCATCTAAATCTATGGTGGTCTGATGGCTCTTTGAGGCGCGCGCGTAAGGCGACGCGCCGTAAGCTAAAGATTCTAAGACTATGTTCTATATCAAAATTCACCTTGTATTCTGGTACAATTCCCTTATAAACTTCATAAAATTCTGCCGCATTAATATTCTCCACTATGATCATATTGAGGGCTGTAACATCAAACCCTCCTTCATCAATGGCTTCAAGAGCTAGTCCAAGTTTACCCTCTCGAATTGCATGTGGCTTGACTATGCAGAGAGTGCAGTTAGATAAGGTTGCAGTCAATCTCAGGCGCAACGATCGCATTGGAGGTGGAGGGAAGAAGTAGTCAACATCCTGTTTAAATACAAATGTAATTAATGTAGGTACATCAGAATTGGTTAAAGGTTTGTTTATTTTTTAAATAAGGTGTAAATTTTGTTAGCATAAAAGAATCACTAATACATTGCATGAAGCCAGTCAAGCTTCATTGGCACTTAGGCTTAGGGCTCCACATACCTTGGAAATTGGAAAAGGGAAGGTTAATTACAGAACTTATTATTTTAATTCTTTAAAACTTTTATACAGCCAATGTGTACATGTGTCAAGATGCTATGCTCAACTCATTAAAACAAATCAGGTAACAGCTGATAGGATCTTTATTTACTTACAGTTAATGCATCCTCGGGACTTGCTGCTGTATGGACACAGTTCCTAACAGGATCAGTACCATAGAGAGCTCTTATGGTGCCCGTTGCAGCTTTCAGTGGATCTCGGTTGCCCAGTAGTTCCAAGCATCTAGCGTGTGCATCTCTACCAACAAGTTCCAATCCAAAAACTTGTTGGTTTGTAAGATGATCCAGCAAAAACCTATAATTTATCATAGTCACTGATAATAAGTTTAAAAATGGTGTTATAAAAAAATATTATAGCATAACATAACATAACATCACGCCTTTTTACCCCCGAAGGGGTAGGAAGGGGTAGGGGGACTTAATGCCACTGTAGAATGTAACACCCACTTTTCAATATTTATGTTATGAGTCCCATGTAATAGGGGGTGAGCCTATTGCCATATACCGGGCACATTTTCAGACTCTGTGCTGCCACTGAGATTTTTTAAAACCCAGTAATACTTTGCCCGAACTGGGAATCGAACCCGAGACCTCTTGCCTGGCAGTCACACATGCGACCACTCGGCCAACGAGGCATTAAGACTACAAGAATATTATAAGTGAGTACATATTTTATTTACATAATAATATTACATCCATTTCAAGAAATGAATAAAGGATATTGACTTTATTTGAAATATCACCTGCCATGCTTTAATAACTTACGGAAATGTAGGATCATTGAGTTGATGGCGATACAAAACTTCAATATCATCAGGTCTTAGGCGTGCTTTCTTCATCTTAGATACACGGAGCCCATGTTCATGAAAATGAGACAATATTTTGCCAGCTACCGTAGTAGGTATTGGTTTAATTAATGCAAATGTCCTGTAAATATATAGAACCGTATTTACTGACAATAGTTTATAAGTATATCACACTAAATGCAATTCATAATTTACTCACACTTGCATATCCCTTTGTAATTTCACTTTAGTGTTTTCGCAAGCAAAATCCACAATTTTAATAAGACGACCTAATATATAAAGAGTGCAACCAATGTAGAAGCTTTGCAGGCTAATTCCATTTACTTTTACTCTTCTCACAAATGTCTTCCGATTTTTTATATCATACATTTCTAATGTGTCGTCAGTAGGGTAATAAAATACATTAAACCGACGAATGAGGCTGGCTTGGTTATCGTACCATTCTCCAATAAAAGAGTATCTTTCAATATAGCTCCCTTCCTAAACGATAAACACAATACCTATATAAATGAAAATCCAAAAGTAAAAGTACATATCTTAATAAAATTATTTGATTACCTACCATTCTATTAAAATAATCAATGCCGGGATATACGATTAATAAAACAGATCAAAAAATGGACTAAAAATCACAACGACAATAATAGTGATGCCATTTTGATATAAAATATCAATACCAATTCGTAATCAAACAAACAAAATAACGGAAGAAACAGCAACTATATAGATTTTACAAAATCTGTCAGTGTTAGAGTTCAGTCAGACAGAAATGACAGTATGCTGTCAACGAGTCCAGAAACTTCAAGAATTTGAATTTAATGTACGTCCAGAAGCCATTTGGATTTTTTAAAAATTAGAACGTTGAAATTGTCTAATAATAAGAAAACCGTACATATGATTTTACATAAAAAACACGCCATGAGTTTAAACTAAACTCAATAATTACGGACGTATTTTTGTGTTCAAGGGTTAATTTAATTTCAATTGTTAAATTGTTAATTAATATGTATACAAACCTTGATACAGACAGTAGGTACCGTCTTTACCATAAGGGCACTCGGGGTCTGTGCCCAGGGCCCCCATCCTCAAGTGGCCCCGAAGGACCAACAATTTCTACAACGAACACGACAACCGGGTGCCGCCCAACTTGTAGCGGGTTCGATTCAAAATCTTTGTGTGCTCCCCAAATGGTTATTCCGGGTCTAGGTGTCATGTGTATGTGAACTTATATGTTTGTAAATGCACTCACGTTAAATGAGCAACTCCGAGCATGGGGCATCATTAAAAAAAATTTAAAAGAGCCCCGAATTATTGTGTGCCCAAGGACCCAAACATAGTAGACGGCCCTGCATACAAACCCTTTTTTCAACGTCCTTGGAATACAGGGCGAAGTGTTGCTCTTGTTTTCACTGTTTGGCAGTTTGGCTTGGTCACTGTCCCCGATATTTATTATACTCTTTGGTCTCTGTATTGCACACTTATTATACTCGTAACTCTTTGATTTTGATTGCATTTCCCCTAAAGAGTATAGTAAGTATGAGTTCCCCTATACTTATTATTTGAGTCTTTGGTTGCAAATGAAAACTTTGATAGATATCAAAAAGATACCGATACGTACTAAAGATTTTTATGTTTGTTCTTCAAAATATCTTATTAATCTAAATATCGTCTTCTCTTATTAAAATGGTACGTACCTACATTCGAATGTTAGTACTTATATTTTTAATTTTCATAAATTTAATTAGTTTGCCATTGCTGTATTCCTAACGCCTTACCGCTCCTTACTTATTTTTAAGGGATTAAATCGCAGCGCTGGCTTAGGGTGAGAGGGATCGGACTTATACTCTTTGGATCGGGCTCTAAATGACTAAAAATCACCCCTCCATCTCCTAAACCCACAACCCTGACCCCAAACGCTAGTCGCATTTTTAGGATGTTCCCAATTTAGGTTCATGGTTCCCAAGTACTATTAGTATCCATATAAATCTTTTTTGTTGTTTCAGGTGTTCGATTATTTTGACAAGTATACATTTCTCTGTGAAATGTTTGATGAAGACGCTGATATTATAGTTGAATTAGTACTTAACTTTTTCCCTTTTGATAATTCATGCCAAGTTATAAACCCAAAAAAAGGAAAAAGCCTACTAAGACGTGTACAATTGCCAACGCTTAAAAGGGAAATGCTACAAATAGGCAATGTAGTGAATATTTTTTCAAAATTACTTCTTATTACCGATTGCACACCGCTAACAAAGAGAACTTTATTTAGCAAAGTAGAAAGGTTAGTTACCTTTAAACTTATGCAAGAGTAGTGAATCCGTAGGTATACCTACATTTTGTGTTGAGTATGGTGACTATGAAACTGTTGTGCCCGATTCGTCTACATCTACCTATAGAACTTAGGACTATCGTTACAATGTAAAGCTTTTCGTGCGTAAGTGCTTTCTCTTGATCCAGTAGTGTAGTTTAGCATCCCCATGTAGTTATGCTATAGTGGCCTAACTCAATTAAGATTATCAAGAAAAGACCTTAACTATTTATTTCGTACTATTTACAGTACCTTTGCAATGATCAAACCCATGTCGTCAAATAAACATGGAACTATTATCACGTTCATAATGAACAAGGGGTTTCGTATTGTACGAATGAAAAACGGAAAGATCAGCAAAGATTTTGCTACGAAGCTTTATAAACATATGGTGGGGGAAGGTATGCTCCCGTAAGTGCAAAATTGAATGTTGTAGATAAGTTTTCTTACCGCTTCAATCGCTTTATTTTCTGTCACTTCCGTGACTATTCGTGCCTGTATATGTCCCACAGCGGTGATAGCGAAACTAACAGACTCATGGAACACATCCAGACGGCTATGAATTTGGTTCAAGGGCAGTTACCTTCAGCAAGACTGACTTTGCTTTTTTATGGCATAAGCCGGTAAACGAGCAGACGGATCACCTGATGGTAAACAATCAGCGCCGCCCATGGACACCTGAAACATCAAGGCGTTACAAGTGCGTTACCGGCCTTTTGGGATTTTGAGGATTGTGGAGGATTTGGGGATTGGGGAGATTGGGGAGGGGGAGTCATTGGACATCCGGTATCTCTGGTATTTAGGTATATCTCCGGTATTTCTGTAAGGCCGTGGTATCACTCCGGTCGAGCCGGCCCATTCGTACCGAAGCATGGCTCTCCCACACTTAGTAGTTGACCACGCGGGAAATCTGTCTACAACTTTACCCTTACTTCTGGCCGGACAGTCGGACACAATTGGATACCGGGTCGTTACATCTGCTACTTTTCAGTATTATAATTGACTACGTCACTAGTGGTGAAGTTATAGGTCTAGAACTTGTTGGCCCCAACGCAATAGCAGAATGGCGTCGGTGTCTAGGTGCAACAGACCCTGCAAATGCTGAACCTGGCACACTCAGACAAATATTCGGGGAAAATATTCTCAGAAATGCCGCTCATGGCTGTATTTCAGTAGATGACGCTGCAGAGGTGTGTATGCTCGCCAAATTAAATACCTATATTCCTTGTGTGTATGCGTGTGTGCGTACCTTACCAAAGGTTATGTAGGATACTATAGAGAGGTGTGAGTGGTAGCCCAGTGTGATATGCTGTACGCTAAATAACCGCCGCGTGCCAGTTAAAAAATAGCGCATATATATTATACATGTTTACACGTATTATCTCTCTGTACCTACCAACTATTTTCCTACTGGGGTAACGCACTACGAAGCTGCTTATTTTTTCAAAACTTCTTTGTAGGCTTGTTGTAGTTACCTACTTCTGAATCCAATACAATTCGCACTAGTCTGTGCACCCTGGAGATCGATTTAAACGTCAGCATTACCTTATTATGTAATATGTAACTACTTACCGAGTATTAATGATATCGATATACCTATATCAGTTAATAGTAGAATAGTCTATAGTTGTACCTATCTTTTATTTTATTGCAGATGTTAGAGTTATATTTTGGTTACGAAAATGGCCTGCCACGAATACCATTTAGAGCAACGTATCAAAATTGTACTTGTTGCGTGATCAAACCACACGTATTGTTAGACGGTAACGTCGGAGCAGTTCTCGAACAAATTACAAATACAGGAAAGTTCCGTATTACCGCTATGGCTATGTTTTCCGTTAAATTAACTGATGCTCAGGAGTTCTATGAAATATATAAAGGAGTTTTACCCGCATTCGAGGTAATTATTTGTCTACTAGCTTCTGCCAGCGGCTTCGCTCGCATACCCGGAGGTGTAAAGTAGCCTATGTACATACAACTACATACATTTCTCTTCACTGCTCTGCTCCCATGGATTGTAGCGTAATGGAAAGTACCTATACTATAACCAGCTCAGGAATATGAAAAATAATTGTACCAAGTATCGTTAAGCCGTTGAGAACAGACAGATAAGAATTTTACTAATTGCATTTTGGGCATCAGTATCGATCGAGCCCTACATTTACTTATTTAGAAAAGATAGAAAGACGATGAAATATGCCAAGCATTAAAAATGCATAAAAACTTTTTTGTTATATTGCATATATTTTGTGTAATGGGCTTTTAGGCCCAGGAATGTAATGTGGCTCGATTCAAGTGACCGGAAGTGTATTAAATCCTTACCCAATATTACAAAAACACAGAACAGTTGGTTAGTGCGTCATTCTACTAATAAAGCCCAATAAATATTCGTTTGCGACCCAATGGGTCGCGATCCGTAGTTCCAGACACCTTACTCCAAACAATGCTAGCGTCACACGCCGCCTTTTTTTGTAAATTATTTATGTACCGAAGTTTTCAGGGTATGTGTATACACCTGGCCGAAGGAAAATGTGTAGTATTGGAAATTCAAAGCATAGACCCTAATTTGAACTGTGTTTCTGAATTCAGACAATTAGCCGGCCCTCGAGATCCGGTAAGATTGTTTGGGTACCTGAGAGCTAAGTATCTATCTATAGTATTAATTACTTACGTCTTGTCTTCCTTAAGTGGAATTCACAACTTTTATGGAAGTCTAAATACAACAACACAAGCAGAAAACTAATGGAAAAGTAAATTATTTACTCTTCTTTTAATATTTAAAATCATTTAATTTCCTTAACTTAAACATCTGTTCTTTTATAAAGAAAAAGTAGTAGGTACTTATAATTGTTTTTCTAAAGTGTCTTGGGTGTTCTAGTCAAAATTTTTGTTAAGAAACACACACAAATAATAAAGCATTCAAAAGTCAGATGTCATTGGTTTATTATTCCAGTAACAATAAATATTCACATTACAGGGCTTATGTCGTCAATTGTACCCAAACAGTATTAGAGCTCTCTATGGAAAAACAAGTATCCAGAATGCTATACACTGCACAGATTTGCCTGAGGATGGAAAAACTGAAGTTCAATATTTTTTCAAACTCTTAGCTAAGACACAGTTTGTTTAAGAAGTAAATATTATTACATTATTATTTATGCTTGTATTCATTTTTTATTACAAAGTCATTTCCTTCAATTTCTATTTTGTCATACATCCACTTTCTATTCACTCTGAAACAATGATTTAAAAATTAGTATGACATATTTTTATAGCATTAGTTTTTAAGCATTTTCTTGATGAACATAACTTTACCTGCATTCATGTCCACACTTATTTGAATTACACTTGGAGCATGGAAAGTGACAACCTGAACAAGTTTCATCCAAACAATCACACAGATCCTTGCCTGTTGCTGCTATTTGACCACGTTCATTATAAATATTTTTAGATTTACGGCTGAAATTACAATTATTTTAGTATGTACTATCATCATTCAATGTATGCTCAGCATAACTTACATATACTTCATGATAGGGCTCATATACATCATTTAAATACACATATAGGAAATGTTAATTTATTATGTCAAGCTCCAAGTTAGGTTTTATCGAAATATACTCTTAACCAACATGCTTATTTATTGATAAATAATGATGTAATTACACAACCAACTTCGGTTTTTATATAAAGTTCTTTGTAAAAAGTCAGATATAATGACTTCCTTTACAGTGACATGTTGCTTATATTTTTATTTTTTTCGATTTTTAATGACCTTCTGCTGATGATACTTTAAAGGCTGCAGAATTATATATTATCATCATTTGTTCATATTGAAAATGATAATTTAACCATAGCAATGTCTTCCATACACAATATCTAGTGTTAGAGACTAGTATTCATTAGAATAAAACAAAAAAGCAGGCAGATTTGTTAATTTAAGAAATCTATTCCTAAAATATGTTTATATACTTAGCAACTTACTACATGCAATTAAAGATTCTCTTTTAAAATATCTACCTATACTAGTACAATAGACTTTAAGCCTATAATTTACCAAAACATAGATAAAGTGACACACAATGTACTTATTTTATATTGTCTCACTAGCTTCTACCGCGGCTTCATTCGTCTTTCGTCCGCTTATGCCGTTTTTATCAATTCCCATCAATGTCATTTTAAATAACTACAATACCTATAACCTAGCCAAATTGAACTCTAATAATTTTGATGATTTACTTATTCATTTTAAATCTACGTGTACTTACTGCATATAATAACTTTTACGATTAAGTTTTCGTCTTTCACGAGCTGAAGTTTCCGGATCGAAATTATCTAAGAAATTCATATTGATTACAATTTTTTCAGTGCAAGATTTAGAGTTAGACGTATTGAAACAATAATAATCACACAAATATTGCTACGTAGGTAGTGGGAAAAAATAAATAAATAACGCAAGTTCTGCACTGACAGTATTTATTTGACAGATTTGAATTTTGACGCTGACTGACAAGTGACAAAGACAATGCCGAGGGCATAATGCCAAAAAAAAAAAAAAAAGTCATCTCTTTTAGGTAGATTCATTTGTTTTTCTTTGCTAGAATAGTGATAACTATTTTATGTTTATTCAAATAAAAAACTTAAATAAAAAACAAACTATTACTTAAAAAAAATTAAAACTGAATAGGTATTACAAAACTAGTGGCTGCCTCGTTGGCCGAGTGGTCGCAAGTGCGACTGCCGGGCAAGGGGTCTTGGGTTCGATTCCCGGGATGGGCAAAGTATTACTGGGTTTTTAAAAAAAAATCTCAGTAGTAGCACGGAGTCTGGAAATGTGCCCGGTATATGGCAATAGGCTCATCCCCTATTACATGGGACTCGTAACATAAATAGTGAAAACTGGGTGCTACATTGTACAGTGGCATTAAGTGCCGAAATGTGCACCTCTGCCTACCCCTTCGGGGATAAAAAGGCGTGATGTTATGTTATGTTAAATAGGTATTACTAAATTAAATATATACAACGATAACGATTGGTGAAAAAAACACAGACTTGTAATAGATAAGCAAACCAAAGATTACCTCAAATTAGTGCAGCCAAAAACACACATGTAAAATAGCTTAAACCGGGCCGGATTAAGGTCGGCATTAGTAATGAAGAATATTATTAGGTACCTACATAGGGATAAGCGTGTTTTTGGGATAAATAGTCAAAATTTATAAATACTGGATAAATATCCATATTAACGTTATTTTTACATTATTGAACCTTTTCTGAAAGTATTTTGTATAGGTCCTAAATACCTAGTTGCGGAATTATTTAATGGTGATCTTTTTTTCAGGCCGTCTAAGAAAGAAACCAACGAAAAAAAAATGCACGTATCGTTAAATTAGAACTAGTTAAAAGTTAGTATGGCGTGAAAGTTGTAGGATCCAAGATGAAGAAGTTATACCAGCGAAACTAGGTATTTAGAAACTGTATAAAATATATAGTTATAAAAATTATTTAATACGTAGATGTTTATTAAATAATTTTAATAAACTCATAATATAGAAAATGTACACATTTTTTTCTGCATGTGCAAAAAAGTATAAATAAAATGTATAAAAGATTGCTATTAGAAATAAAACATGTAGAATAATAATTTTTATTAAGGCACTTTTTATGGTTCAGAATATTAAGGTAATATTCATCTCCCTCCCCTTTATACCACTGACTACTCCTAAAACAAGTTCTTTCCTTGTCCTGTTCGAGCGAGCGGAGCGAACGCCATGGTAAATTTTGTTGTTCATTCTTAAGCATTTCAGGAATATGATGATATTCTTTGATCATAATAGGCAATTGTGATAAGAATGATACATAGTAGGTATCATGGTATAACCTCCATGGACTTCCCACGCCGTTGGGACGACGGGGTGGTGTGCCGGACTCTTACCGGCTAAAACCACCGCGGTGTTCCTCCTCTGCCTGTGACCGTGACCCGGATGCCCTTGCGGATTCACCGCACCCGGCAGGCCTCGACCTACCACTAAATTGTGGCAGGTCCCACGCCCACTACGTAGTAGCCCTCAAAAGCTGCGATTTCCTTCCTCAAGTGGCGCGCGTGAACACACCACTAATGTGAAAAGTTATTCCAGATATTTTCTTAGACCTATTGCTGTCACATCGCTATGCACTGCACTTCAACATTTTATTTCAGATTGTTTATAATATGATTAATGGTATAAAATAAACAATTAATATTTTTTGATAAACCGAGATTGAAACAGTTGTAGGTAAAAGCTTATCAATATGGCGGAACGGATAAATTGGCTTCATGTGAAAATTGTCTACGTGTGGAGCAGTGTGGTTACAGGTAAAGGAACGAGACGCCATTATTAGGTTGATGCTTGACAGAACAAGATAAAAAATGCGGGATATCATAATACGAATAACTAGGAGTGAATGTTTGGTCTGCTTATATATTGTAAGTCTTGTAAGTTGCTATGTAAAATTGTGAACGACCGTGGCGCCCTCATTTATTTTCATGAATAAATGGTGTGCAGTTGTGCACACTCAGCGACACACGAGTCAGATGTACCTCGACCATAGACCTCGACCTTTTCGTTTCTATGACACTGACAGTTGACAGCAGGGGAAAATTGAAATCAACGAATGAACAGACAGAGCCAGCGCAAGCAAAGTATTTCATTATTTTCGTATTCTGCAAAAGTGTAAATCAATAAAGGGGTTTGTGTGTTATATTATCAAGTTTTTGTATATAAAATGGCAGATTCAAGTAACAAGGAATCATCAGTGACTAAAGTTCCAATGATTTATGTTTGTGGAGGTAACGTGGTGTTTTCATTGTAGTTGTGGTTATGTTTTGTAACAATTTACACGAAAATCGTCTATTACACATAATAAATCAACAGATACATGAACTCGTAATACCGATAATTGTAATATTTTAACATGTACATTTTATACACTGAACGTGTCGTATTTAGTATAATGTTTATTTATTTTAGGATTAATTTTGTCCTTACATGTCACAACATGTACCTTTTTATGAATATGAAATTGTTACAACTCGTATGTATTCAAGTTTGGTAGTTTAAATATCATATACCATAACACATCACATCAACAGCCTGTAAGTGGCCAGTGCTAATGCTAACCATAGCCCTCTTCTCATATGAAAAAGATTTGAGCATTTCACCACCCTCGGTCAATGCGAGCTGGCGATTTCGAACTTATAATTAGAAATAAACTCAGGTGTCCTCACAATGTTTTCCTTCATCATTTGCCAGGGGTGTATATAATCTTAAAAAGTACATAACTCGGAAAAAGTCACATAAAATCAAAAAGTACTTACTGTTGGTAGGCTTCGAACCCACACCCTCATGCACAAGAAGCTTGAGCCTTAAACCATGTACCATCGTTACATATATTGAAATACTTTTTACAGAATGCCATCGGGAGAATGAAATAAAACCAAGAGACCCAATAAGATGCAGAGAGTGTGGTTACAGGATAATGTACAAGAAGCGAACAAAAAGATGTATCCTTTTTAAACTTCCATAATTATATAGCATGGACTTGGACCAAATTCCAAGTGAAATGTTTGTAAACAAATCAGGAAGATGAAAACTTCTTATGTCTTGTCAATTACATTGCATGCAATGCAGTCACAATCCTAATCTATTTGTCATTCTGATGTCAGTACTTCACAGTACTGTGATAGCAAAAGGGTAGAAGCACAGAAATGTTATTTGCTATTTGGTGCAGCCGCCAGACATAGTTTGTGCTTTTATAAAAACATTTCACATTGAGTATGGCATTTTTTATTTATTATATTTTGTGATGTTACTTAGTATTTATCACATTTCATTAATATTACACCTTAAGTTATTTTCTGGGAATAGCATGGTGAAAATCATTTTTGGGTGTACTTACATATTTTGCAAACAATAAAATGTAAAAATTTAGCCTTTGACTACCATAGATATCACATAGACATTGTAGATATCTAGTTATAAAAACAAGAGAGACTCTCAAGTCAATGTTCAATCAACCATTCAACCTATATCCTAGCATGTTCCGTAACATTTCTTCCCGGCCTCATGAATTAAAAAAGCTTCTAATTTATTAAAACTAAAACATTATGCTTTGCTTGGTGTATATGGTTTGCAGTTTTGCGCTAGAGGTTTTTATTTGCTTTTCTGGGAGTATGGTGAGTACAATGTTCTTATAATACTATTTGTTTTTGCAAATCCCACTAATGTTTTATTCAAATATAGTATGAATTTTTATTATTATTATAAAATCTGTTCTAAAACCTCAAATTAAATTTAAGCTACTAACACAATAGGTTGTTTGCTTAATGCTTTTTATTACTACAGCATGGCTTGTCTATACAGGGTGATATGTAATTAGACCACAATCTCATATAGGCTTATAGAACTGATTAATTTCAACATTTTTGTCAAACAAGGGACAGGCGGGAATGAACGGTCATTAAAATATTTAACTTTTAGTATTAACTTTAAAACGACGCCTGCAGTAAGTTTAAAACTGAAAAATTGAAGAAAGAAATGCGCTTCACATAATTTTACTTATTATCTTACTTAAGTAGTTTATTTACCAGCGGTAATCATCAAATACACAGTCATTTGTGAATATATTGCATGAATTTGGGATCACAGTGTCTGAAATAATATTATCATTGTGTATTTGATGATTAGAACTGGTAATTAAACTGCGTAGTAAGGTAATTAAAAAAAATATTACTTTTTAATTATTTTTTTTCAGTTTTAGAGTTACCGTGGGCGTCATTTTTAAATCAACACTAAAAGTTAAATATTTTAATAACCATTCAATTCCGCCTATACTTTTGTTTTACAAATATGTTGGAATTGATCTGTTCTATAACCCCATACGAGATTGTGGTCTAATTACAAATCAGAATCACCCTATGTATATACAAAACGCTTGTGTTACTGAGGGACTGACTGAATGAATGACTGACTGACTGCTGACTGACTGACTGACTGGCTGGCTGACAAACAATGCATGACATGCTTTTTTCTTTCAATTTTTATATTATTTAATTAATACAGGCAGGTATGTGTATAACTGCTATATGTGTCTGACTGTAGCCATACAAAAAAGTTCTAAATTTAACTGAAAGATCTGTAACTTTGCATATATCATTACAACCCATACATTACCATTATGTATTTACAATTAACTTATTTCACAGCAACATTATTATAATATATAATCTTTTTATACACATTTCTATCATATACCTGTTGCTCTTCATGAAGCTTGTAGTGTGGTAAATTTAGTAGCTCTATTTTGTGTCTATGTGTGTAATATATTATGGTCCACAATTTATAATACTTACTTTAATAATTTATAATTATCCTTAACTGCCATTTTCAGTGGTTGTCTTTGATGCTCGCTGAGGAAGAATGAAGAATCTATTAATTATATCTAAATTTTTTAATGTACCTAATATGTTTTAAGATAAATAATAAGGTTGTGTAAATTGACGATGTGTTTTTATTTCTTAAAATTCTTGCATTCTATTTACCTACTAATTACTTGCAAATTAATTATATGTTTGAGGAAAGCAAATGATACAATAGCAATATGATTTGCATTTGTCTGAAGAATTTAATGGTCAGTCATGCCATATTTAATAAGTTTCGCTCGGCTTGCCCTGGGATAAAATGTAGCCTATGTCTTATTCCAGACCGTCATCTATCCCTGTCTCAAATTTCATCCTGAGTGCCAAGCACGAATAACTATCGCATTCGTAACGTAATAGTATCGAGCGCGTTCGGCGCTCTGATTGGCCGGCTCGAGTGAACCAACCAATCAGAACGCTTAACTCGCTTGATACTGTTACGATACGATTGCGATACTTATTCGTGCTTGGCAGATCCCTTGAGCCATTTCGATTTGAAACATACAAACTTTCGCATGTATAAAACTAGGTTCTGCCCATGGCTTCGACCGCGTTCCCGTGGGATAAAAGGGTTCTATGTGTTATTCAAAGTCAAAAGTCAAAGTCAAAATCATTTATTTCAATTAGACCAGGACTTTTGAGCACTTTTGAACGTCAAACAACAAAAATTTATAAGTGAAGCTAGTGAATTTATAAGTGAAGCTATTCCAGACCATAATCTAACCCTGTTCCAAATTTCATCCCAACCCCTTCAGCCGTTTTGATGTGATTGAGTAACAAACGCACACAAACTCACAAAGTTACGCATTTTTTGGATTAGTAAGAAGTAAGATTAGTAGGATAATTTGTCATTGTTATTGTTTATTAAAAAAAAAAAATCATTATTTGAATAATAGACTCACCTCCTGTTACATGGGACTCATAACATAAATAGTAAAATTGGGTGTTACATTGTACAGTGGTATAATGTGCACCCCTGCCTACATCTTCGGGGATAAAAGGCGTGATGTTATACAAATTAAATTTCTTATAAAAGTGTCAGCTAAATCACTTTGAGATTTTGTCGTAATTTGATATTACCTAATTATGTCACTTTGATGCCAATTTCCATTCTCTTGTGATAGTGTTTCAATATTGTCGAATTGCAGTTTTTCAGGTTTTTTTATTTCTTTTCTAATCACAAAAGACATAGCTCTCTACCTAGAAGAGCTTCACAAAATCTTCTTACAAGATTACTTGGTACCTATTTGCTAAACAAATGACATTAATATTGTCTCGTCCCTAACCAGTGTACGAAATTTAATTTTGTTAAATATTTCAGTTGATTTTATAGATACGGCTATATAGTAAAAAGGATCTAGGTATCATATAGTTATTCTACTAAACTAAATGTTTTCATATAGGTAGGTACGTAACTGCAGTAGTTTCAAGGAATTCTAGAATGCTGAGATCTATTAGTAGTAGGAAGGATGTAATAAAGGGATTTGACACTAATTTATAGTTGTAATAAAATGTGCATTTTAAATAACTCAATGTATTATAATTATGTAACTCCTTTATTACAAATTTGTTGCAACAATTTAGTAAAATTAACCCCCTTTCGATATAATATACATCAAAAAAATTATATCTATAGTTCTACCATAATCACGAGTACACCATTTCCTTCAAACATACCGTTCCAATAATAATGTAAAATAGCTATAATATAGTATATTGTGGCACAATGCCAGCGCACTCACTAAGTGCTTACGATACTCTTCATATTATTATTTAATTTCTTTTTTAAGTATCCATTTCACAATACACAACAATTTACAAAATGATTAATATACATTAGATTTTGTACTTACATTGATTCGTAATGCATACCAGATATTTTAGTAGTATCTATGATAGTACTTAAACAAATATCAGTCATATATTTTTATACAGTATGTTATGTACCACAAAACACATAATGGTAAATAAATATAACCAGATTGTGAGTTACGATAGCATTGTGCCAATCTGGCAACACTTACTGGGAAAATTACGAACTTTATAACGGCCCTTATATTTTAAATTGGAAAGAAGATATTATCTATACAATAATGTATCTTTATACTAAAATAGGCCTTTAATTTGGAAAACTACGAACATTTTATACAGTTAAAAGTTGTAATATTTCTTTTTTTATATATATAGGGTTCATGATATGGTTTCTATATGGATAAGTAATACTTATTATTTACATAAACATTCTTTTTTTTAAGTTTCTGCTTCCTTTTCAAGAAAATCCTATTCTGTTGGCTGTCTCATTAATTTTTATTTACGTTAACTTTGATATGCCTGATTTACATCAGTTCAATATGAGAACATTCAAATATCTACGTTTATAATAAAAGTTAAAGTGGACCTACTTTTTAATTGTATAAACTCGTATATTTTGAAATTGTCTCTTTCCAGACGTGGTTTGTTTACCACGCTAGAAACGACAAAAATACTACAGTTACAAAATGATTTCTATACACATATGTATAGTATAAACTTGTGTATAAAATTACTGAAAGTTAACGAAATAAAAACACGATATAATTAAGCTTTTTGTGGTGGAATTAGTCTGAAAGTATGTTTGTTGGTTGGCGTAGTTAATCCTGACTGTACTTGTTAAATTTAATATCTAGTCAAGCACTATTTTTGATATGGAAGACTTTAATGATTTTTTGTATATCTAAATTTAGTTTATGGATTTTGATATGCCAATTATTTTTAGATAAAAGATTTGGAAGTAGATGTTACACAGTGTAAATACATCATAAGTATATATTTTATAAAAAATACATACAAAAGTAATAATGGTACTTATCAAGATAAAAGTTGCTACATTTAAGAAATTCCAATATGTGTCATTGATATTGAAACGTAGTTTACCTACAATATGATGGACCACCAAAATATTTATGTAAGAATGTTTTGGATACGTTAAAATGGGTAGTTTTGTATTCAACTTCAAATTTCCACCTGAATTACTTTCATAGTTTTACTAAACCTAGTTAAGAGTTACCTATAATAACAAATACAATATGTATGTAAGCCCTAAAATGGAAGCAAATTTAACAACATTTAAAATTATTCAAATTTGAGATATTTACAAGATATATAGTTTCACAGTTACATCAAATTAAGATACAGCGATATATAGTTATATAATTAAAGCGCATCGTTTTGTTTTCACACGTTGCTGAGTCAAACCCCAGTATGAATAGTTACACCTTAAATTAATAACAAAACAAAATTGCACATTAAAATATTCTACTTAAAATAATTTTGGCACTAAATATCTGTGGCACTATAATTAACTCTCATGTCTTTATCTTGACCTTCGTTACTATCAATAGTTTTTCCTTCAATATCTTTTTCACTTTCACTCATGTTTTCGCAAGCAGCAGTATCTTCTTCGTCTGAGGACTCTCTGCCAGTGGAAGACCCAGTGTGCGTCGCACCATTGGGTTCCCGATACTCAAGTTTTGTTGGATCTTTTTCATGAAGCTTTCTTGCTAGCGATTGTAAGCTAGCAAGCGAACTTGCACAGTCTGTTGTGTCAATATCTGTCAAACTTACACCTGCACGTTCGATTTCCGTAAATGTACCGAAAGGTAATTTAAACAAACATTCCAACCGCATCACGTGCATTTTGCTTCTCAAATGTTTCGCTAGATGGCCGTGTATTCTAATGCTATATTACAATCAGAACATCGAAATGGTCTAGGATTAAAAGATGTAGCAGCCCCAAATGTTGACGTCATGGACACCTTGTTGTGATGTGAACCTGAACGTTCATGCTTTTGAAGATGCCCTCTAGTTCTGAAACTTACGGCACATACACTACACCTAAATGGCCTTTCCATGTAATGTATATTAAGATGCAGCCTTAACTGAGAAGGTTTGGTGAAAGTCTTATTACAAAAATCACACACCCTGCGGCCATCTTCCATTAATCTACCTGGTGAATAGGATGAGTTTTCAAAATCTTTTCCCTTAGTAACTTTAAAAGCTACCCTCCTACACCTATTACAACTTTTCTTGCCACAGGTTCATGGTCTAAAGATGGTGGTTTTATTGATTCCGATTCAGAAAATTGTTCATCTTGTTTTGTATTATCTTCTCGTATAACCAAAACGTTGTCGTCGTTTGAATCATCATTTTGGTTTTGTATACTTTCTTCGTGAGTTTGAATATGGTTTATTCTTGCATGTTTCAAATATTCAGAAACGACGTGTTTTGCATTTTCTGCGTTGCTGTGAGATTGTGTAAGAGTTCCTTTATTTTCATTGACGGAACTAGTTGACACAGGTGACTCTCTAATGACTGAGACTTCATCTCTTAATATAGAGGGCGATTTCAAAACATTATCTTTTTCTTCTAATACTTTAGAATCATTGTAATTAACACGAGACGAAGAAACTGGTGTAATAAATGAATTTTTTGTGGATGTAACAATTTTATTGTTGCTATCCATTGAACAATAACTGTCGGTATACGTTGATTTTTCTATATCAATCTTTCTTAATTTACTTAAGTTGCCAGTAAGTTGACTCTGCTTGATTTTAGAATCCTGCAATGCCCTTTCTGTTAAATAAGTATGAAGCATTGGTTCACCATTTGTCCATTGAGATTGGTGATTTGGGAGTTTGGCAGTATTTGATGCTAGGGATGCTAAAACACTAGACTCTCTGGCGGTTGGTATTTCAGGAATGTTATTTTGTGTTGTTTTTGTTTCACTTTTGCTGAGATCCATCGGTTCGTTTTCAGTGCTCAATCTTGTGTCAGCTGGAGAAGTTTGGGTATTACTTGACCTTTCTGGATTACTCTCTGTGGTAACATTATCTAGGCCAGCTGGTGTATATGGATAAGTTGAAGGTCTAGCACTTGTTATTAAGCCAGGAGTAGCGGAAGTAGTCGGCCTAGAACTTCCTAATGATAATAAGCAATGTGCAGCTTCATGTTCTGGTAACCGCGACTTATAAGCTTCCGTATCTGTAAACAACGAAAAATGTTAAATATTTAGTGTTCATAGCTTAAGAAACTCGTGTTAAATGTAACAATTTAAAAACCAATCGGTTACTTCTTCGAGTTTATTAAGCTCGATTTTTTTATTAAATTAGATCTTGCAAAGTGTTGAGTTCAGTAGTTTTAATTGTGTTCTAATAAGGATTTGAAATGCAAACTAATAAGTATAGTTCGTAATTACATTGTAATAATCTTCTTGGGGACAAAATATATATTACAAAAATATTGAATGAAATCTTACCGCTTGATTCTGTTTCACCCTCATTTCCTTCATCTCCCTCAGATTCTGTATCGTCATCGGTTTCACCGGAACACTGCGCTAACTCACCACCTTCGTTATCATTACCTTCATTTGGATTTATTCCTAATTCACAGCACTTTTTATAGTGTGCTTTACTCTTCATGTGTTTGGTTAAGTTGCCCTTAGTCTTAAAACTGAAATACAGTTAAATAATACGTAAGTTTTAAGTTCAACCAAAAAAACATTACAAAGTTAAAAGTAGTGTAGATGCTGAAAACCAATTATTATTTACCTAAAAGCGCAATGCACGCATGTATAAGGACGCACATCAGTGTGGGTGCGGATATGTTTCTTAAGCATCGAAGGTTTCTTGCAACGAATTCCACATTCTGAGCAAACGTAACGTCCTCTACCACGACCGCGAACGTACGTATACTCTTCATTACTTTCGAATCCTCCGGTCACTTCTTTCTTGGGAGTTGTCACATTATCGCAAACTGAAAATTTGTTTTCATCCTTTTTCATGTCAATCACTTGTACTGCCTGAAATTTGAAAGAAATGATAATTAGGTAAATAATAGCGCTTTCGACCAAAATGTGAAGTCAATAGGTGCTAAGCATATCAATTAAAAAATCAATAAATAATAAATATACCTGTTTACTGTCTTTTACAATTCTTTTCCACTGCGATGAATGAGTCAGTACAAGATCCTGTTTAATCACCGCAACAGCTACAGCTTGCGGTCGATGACGTGAGTCATAAAGAGACATAGCAGACGATGCTGACAATCCCAGCGGGTCTGGCGTCAGCTCGGATAATAACTGTAAACATATTCATGTATTTACAATTCTGACATTAACTTCACAAGTATTGGTAAAAAGCAAATATTTATTAGAAAATATATATTACCTGCCAGTTGCTGTACATTGAAAGGAAATGCTGATTTGGAACATATGTTGGCTGTGGCCGATTGATTGTGCAGTAAAATACTTTTGTCGAACATTTTAATCCTAGATATGTATATGCATTCCATTTAAGTAAAGTTGGCCATAAGCTTTGGCGGGTCGTGGAGTTTCTGGTGATACAAGAGGCATTGTATTTGCATTTGGTGTAATTCCATGGTGTCTTTTAGGTGTAAATGTACCAGGTTTCAACGGTAAAGTAGAAGGCCGTAAAAATTTAGGTTTTCTTTCTTCTGTTGTAGTTTTATTTATGACATTTTTCTGGAAGTAAGATGTTTCAGACCTTTCACTGTACGCTGATACAGGAGTTTCTTGAGCATTTGTATTTTTCTGTACCTCTGATGAGCTAGGTATTTGATTGTTGTATATTTCAGCCTTTGTAATCAAATTTTCAAAATTAAAATTTCTCAATTCTTTATCCGACTTCACTTCTATGTTTTTATAATAATTAGTAGTACTTTTTTCTCTGTTCTTATTAAGTTTGTGTGTCGGAAAGTTAATGTTCTCTTTTAAAACTGGTGTTCTAGGAATACCATCGGAATTTCTTTTTACTCCTGCATCTTGTCTAATCATGGTTTTGACTAGATTTGAAGTAATGGATTTAGGACTCATATTTGTGTCATCAACATTCTTAATTTTAATTATTGGAACAGCCGAAATGTAATGCGGCATATCAGTATTACAATGGTCTTGAATGTGTTCTTCAGTCTCTATTTTTGATGGCCTTAAATTTGGACTTTTACTGCTCCGTATTTGATGCGGTTCGTATTTAGTTATTGTTCCTTTTGAAGACTGAATATTAACAATGGAACTTGTATGAGGGTCTTCCAAATTTGTTTGTATTGACAGTTTGTTACTATCTTGGTTTATTACGTTTTTAGAATGAGTAATAGAATTTCCAACAAATACTCCTGGAGTGTTAGGCCCAGGTATACCCGGCACATGCGGTATTAACTTTCCACCGTGGAATATAGTCGTTGCACCATTCGGTGATGACGGACTAAGAGGAGGTAAAGTTAATGGATTAAATGCTGTTATAGCACTAAGAGGTGGAAACTGAAAATGTGTAATATCATGGATATTCGGTAAATTAGAACTCGGTATAGATGGAGCTGTTGATATTGAAATTCTTGGTGTCTGTGGTTGTGGAGTACCCAAAGCTTCTTTAGGCGTAGGTGGATTGTGCATAATAGTCCCCCCGGAATGTAACCCAGATCTCACCACAACACTGCTTGCTTCCACGTCATTTGCGAGTTTTGATGGCGACAGATTTTGTTGAATTAAAATAGGTGATAACTGGTTTTTACTAGGCTCAATCCGGAGTGTTGTTGTACTACCTGAATGATCCACTATTTTCACTTCACCTCCAAACATTTGAAGTGAAGTTGAATTATGTCGCATGTGTTGAGCCATTTCATCCATCGATCGTAAAGTTGTAGAATTAGCATCAATACACCTTATCTTCGGCTGAGTATATAGATCATTTGATCTCGGTGAAATGTTTTCTATTAACCTAGGACTATAGTTGTCAGCTCGGCTGTCGATCCTTCTTTTAGGACTGGCTAAAGGCTTCACTTTAAGACTTTCATTTTTTCTTGCATAGTCGGTTGGTACTCTTGTATCAACCAGTCTAGTATTTCCAAGTAATGGCCCAGGCGATGGTAAGGGAGCAGCCACATCGTTTGATTCTGGCTTCAAGATAACAAGATTATCGGGTTTAATTCTAGATGGCGATGACTTGGTAGAATTAGTAGTTCGTGAATAATTGGACGATGACTCGGGTAATCTTACATTTATAGAATTACTTCGAACATATATGTTCTCAGGTCTATAGATTTCACTTCTTTTTGAGATATAGTATTAGTACCTATAGCCCCTTTGCAATAATACAATCTATGTGTTTCCAAATTGTCGGCGCTTCTGTACATTATCTGACACAAAGGACAAATAAACAAAGGCCCTTCGATTAATTCACCAGTTACTGATGCCATGCCGTTCATTTTAGTTTTAAGAAGGAGATCTTTAATAATGGAGCCTTCTGGATTCAAAGGATGTTTTTGATGGTCACTCTGTGAAAAGCTTTCAGAATGCGATCGTTTTCTGTAAGAGTTATCACTTTCATGATTGGATTTGGTTAAGTTGAGGGGTGATGGTTCTGATTTTATTTCTGCTAAATCAGTCATAAATTGTTTACTTTCTGCTATTTGTTTAATTTTGCCATATTTCTTTTGTAATGGTGTTTCGATAACATCAACAATAGCTTCATTATCTGATATTATTTTCGAGATATGCTCCGTAAGGAAATCAGCATTTGGTGAAATAGATTTTTTTACTTTTTCTTTTTCATCATCTTGATACAATGCTGCTCTGAATTTAGGTTTATAAATTGTTTTTGATTTGCTGTTGTCAACTAATGAATAACTAGTACTTGTGGAGGGCATGTTGGTATCGATAATGAGTTCAGAAGAATCGTTTGATTCTACATTGTCAGCGCGTATTATTGAAGCGTCAGACCCGGTTTCTGACATAGATGTAGGCGGAATAGACGTATCGCTTTCTGAACCTCCCGATAAGTCGTCATCATTTAAGGGTACAGATACGTCAGCTCCTTGCATTCTTAAAGCATGTGTTCTTGATCTTTGATGTTTGTATAAGTTGGATTTCGTTTTAAAAGCAAATCCACAAGGTGCACACGGGTATGGTCTCTCATTCGTATGAGCTCTGATATGTTTTTGGAGAACAGAAGGCTTGGCACAAGATAATTTACAGTAGGGACATATGTAACGTCCACCCACTCCAGCATTATAGGCTTCTTTGATTAAATCATTTTCAAGATTCTCAGTCTTATTAGAAAATTCATCAGTAACACTGGTCTGACCAGTTACTTGAACAATATTATTTACATTACTTAACCTACTATTTTCTTCGCTATAATTAATTTGTACATTTTTCTCCACAGTGTGAACTTCTAAATGCTGTTTTTCTGATTTTGTTTTTATTTTCTCTATTTCTGGATGGGCTGCTGCGATGCTACCATTTGATATTGAAAGATTACCGGCAGATGAGGATACTATCGATTCCTTATGCCTGACTTCCCCTGTTTTGGGTAGATTACTGGGAAACACAGTAATAGTAGATGCCATTTTTTTGAATTTCTTATGTAGATAGCTGTGGTCATTGTTATTGGAGAAGTTGCTATCTAAACGTTTTTCCTGTGTTAGCGGCATCGTACCCGCGACGTTTGTACCTGCAACAATAACAAGTTTTGCTTAAATTGCTATATTTACCACAAAACGACTCATTGGTTTAAAAGGTATAAATGAGAATTGAACGTATTACTACCAAACATGGGCCAAATACAATTAACAAATTAATTATCTTTTATGTAACGTTTTTGTGTTTAAAAAAATGCTAATTAATTATCACGTTTACCTATTTATCGAAAATTTTAGCATAAACAAAAACGAAAAATGCAACTTTACCTATTAATAAACTAACATTAAAAAAATACATTCTGACCTCTAGACTAAAGGCCAATATATATTATTTTATAGACTTAAGTCACAGAATAGGTACTACATAAGTTCGCAATGCATACAATTCTTTATAAACGAGATTAGATAAAACAGCCACTGAAAAATAATAAATAACGACCGTAAGGAAAACCCCTGTTTTGCACATTTACAAACAACAACTTTTACAAAACAAAAAAATTTAGACTTGTTTCAGAAATATTTATTACGTGCATTTAACATTTATTGATTAACTATGTGATTCAGTATTTTATCTCAACGTATTGGTAGTATGAAAAATACGACTCGTAAGCTAATATTTGATACTAAAAATTGTAACTTATTATGTAAAGGTGTTTTTACCGAAAGTAATATTGTCCTACTTATCGCAGAAATAATTTCTTACACAAAACAATCGAATCATTTACACCATGTCATTGTCATCGCTAATATCACTGCATTTTTGCCAAACTTTGACCATTTTTTACACATTTTACTTCAATTTGTTGATAAATACCACATTTTTAATAATTTCGAAACTTATCAGTAGCAAAAATCCATACTAACATTAAATATATAGAGCAGTGGTGTTTTATACGCATTTCTTGTTTATATAAATAATTCATTCAAGATCATTTTTCCTATGTCAAGCCATTGAAAAGCACTCGACACAAAACAGCGAACAGCGATGCGGTGAACGTGTTGGTTGACGCAACGCAACGCGCATGTGCCGTGCTATTTCTATTGGTGTGTAGTGTGACATCACCGTGACGTCACGCTATTAGACGAGGATATCCCCAGTCGGCGCTGCTTTCTGTCGTATTTTTTACACTAACTAAATTGATATACATGGCTATGTAGTTATTTTTGAACATGGATAAAAATGGTATAAACATTTCGTTTCTGTTTTCTGTCGGACATTTATAAAATCATTAGGGCGGTAATATATTAAAGATATTTATATTTTTATACATACACATGAAGGAATTATCATGTTTTTTTCTAAGTTGCAGTATGATTCAATAATATATATTTTGATAAATATAAATTTCTAGCTACCTATTTATAAATGTGGAGGGTACATTATAACAAATAGCTGAAGGTTTAGTCGTACTTAGCACAATCACAAAACAAGATGTGAGAAATAAGATTTTGTAAGTGTGAGTGTTATCTACACAATCCGAATACGTGTAGTAGTACGATGGCGGACGACCTCGCTTGCGCTCACTTGAGTCGTTCGTGGACGGCTGCGTCGTTGGTACGTTCCGAGAAGGCGTTACAATTTCTGAGAAGTGGAGACAACCATGCCGCTCCGTTCGTTTAAGAACAGGCAAGCAAATAAGCTCGGTACGCACTTGCCGCTTACGCACACAACACAAACCTCGTCTTTATGTATGAGCGTTCTGATCGCTGTGTGTGTGCCACCTATTTAAATAACGACTGACAAGCGTTGTATTGATGTAGGGATATGTGTTGATAGAATCTTGGAAATTAGAAATATATTTGCCAGAAAAAAGCAGTTTTTGTGTCATTTACATTACTTATGTCGCACCTATTGCCTAATTAATAAATCACACCTAACTTAATATGTTTTGGAGACTATAGACTGCACTTAATATGTTTACTACACCTATTAGCTCTTTATAAAAAAAAATAAAGAAAGTGATCCCGAAGGCAAGCGGCAGTAACTGGTAGTGTTGTAATGAGACAAAGGAATCCCGGCGGTCGGCCGCCGCCCGCCGGCCTGGCGCCAAGCCAGGCGGCCCTGGCGACGCCTGTGTCGGCCGCCAGCACGCCGCCAGCTTCCATTGCCTCTACTCTACCTATCACTTCACTTAACAGAAGCATTATAATATTGGCTAACGTTTTTATTATACGATCTGCACGATCGGAGCACTTGTTTACCTAATGCTAAATTTAGACTTACTTTGCAATTTATAATGCTGTTTTTACTTTTTAATCTTAGAAAATTAAATAGTAGAAACAGCAATTTATAATACTAATTTAAACTTTGCTGCTTAATTAGAGTATCTAACCAATCAAATTTATTTTAAATAGGTAGTAGGTGATCATTGTTTGCTCATGTAACTTCGACTACCTATATGAAAGTACATGAGTATTTTTGTCAGTACTTACATCATGATGATTAGAAACATGCATGTAGTATTGCGAATAAAGCTTTAGGGAAACTAAACAATCAATGAACGGGCAGACGACCTCTTGACTCGAGCGAGTCTGTTTGGTTGAAATAAGGAGATTATTGTAGGTAAGTACCTATCTTTACCTACTTATAAATGTGTATCAAGTGTTTCCCTTTGTTTACGTTGCGGTTCATAAACTATCTCTCATTAAAATTCGCACCTAATCTACTCATTAGTATAGAGTTTACCTCGGTATTTAGAGTCAACTTTACTCAACTGATATAACTAAACTTAATTATATATAACAGTAGGTAGCTGATGTTATCTTCCCATAATAAATGTGTATTGATAAACAAAATATTGGATAAAGAAATCTTATTTTGAATCCTTGACCTAAGGAGCATTGGGTTCAGAAACTTACGATAGTATAATAGGTGTAGTAAGCAAGTATTTCGTAATATTTTAATGTAATAAAAAACATTGTTGTGATGAATCAACTATCTATAAATGAGTATGAGAGTAAACAAACAAGCTCCCCTAGAATTCTTACCGCGGTAAAATTGATCAGTCCACCATTATATCATTTCTGTCTTGATATCATTTGTTGACGCCTCCAGAACAAATGTCAACAAGTCCGATAGGCTGCATTTCACCCGCGCACAAGTGAATCATCGTTAATAATTGCGCGACGATCCACGCCACACGGCACACACACACACACAGACAACACCTGTGTTATCGTCACACAAGTCTCACTAACACTCTGGTACTGCGACGCCACTTTCTTTTTAGCAAACGATAACAATTATTAACATACGAGATACGAGTATTTATTTGTTTTGTCTATATGCTGGAATAGGTCTCGTTTATCGTACACTCGAAGAAGGAACAGCGTACGTTCCCGCACGGCGGATGAGTGTTCAACTGTTTGTAATGTCGTTGGTTTGTTCGTTTCGTTCCGTTCAGCTCCCCGCGCCACCCGCGTTCCTACCCGCGCACCGCACTCTGCGCCCGCTGTAAGTAGTGATTCATGTCGCGTTTTATCTATCTCCCTCCTTCACCGCAACCGGATCGGTTGTTCTTCGTAATCTATTTATATGTATCTACATAATATGCACGGACTTTAACCTGCGCTTTAACTACAAGTCAAAATCTTACTTAGCGTTTGTTATAGGTAGTCTGCGGGGAAGAGAAAGCTCTTACATTAGAATGAAATACCTACTTAATTCTTATCAACCTAAATTTTGATGACATGACATCACTTTCAATTTTGTGTTGGACTGGAAAGGAAAAAGAATCATAATATTTGGTACCAATCAAAAGGCAATGCCTATATCTTGTCACTTTGTCTACTAACTATTAAACATTTTGGCACGTGTTAAATTTATCTATTTAATAGGTGTATTGGAGAGATAGATTCTGGGATTAAGAGAAAGTCTTAAGTAGGTAACCAGTTGCGACGGTAACAAAAAATTTAATATGGGAGAGCTGTGTCAAAATTTTGATACTTATCATTGGTTTGGTAGGTACCTATCGGAATGGCAAGCAACGTAATTTTCATGCAGCGGTGATTTCGTAACGGCTGCGCTCGACTAGAACGGGTATCGGTTTTATTTGCCATCGTCAACTACATTCTCTATTGCAGGAAACCATTTCCATCCATATGGAAATATGTACTATGTATTATTATTAAGTAAAGCGTACTTACCTAATCAAATAAAAATACGAGGTGGAGTAATGTCATAATAAAAAAATACAAACAGAGGAATCTCAACTTTTGCATTTGCTACATTTTTGGCAAAATTTTGTATAGGCAGTTTATGATACTTACGGAAGTAATCACTTCTTGGAAATATACATTTAAATATTTATTGTTATATATTTTTTATTTATATCATTGGCTTAATAAACTTAGTCAGAAAAATATATGTAGTTACTAAATACAAGATAATTTAACTCGTAATTTTCGTTTAATTTTAGGTAAGTAGATATTACATACTTATCCCAAGTGAATTTTGGAAGGGACATTCACAAACAATCTCTCGTCATCTCATACCTCAGAAGCCTTGTTGTGTTTTAATAACCCGAATAACTAAATACTTCGGTAGATAAGATTTCAATACCTGAAACCGATAAAGAATACATGCAATCAATAAGCTGAAAATATAAAAATAGCCAAGAATTAACTTCACAAATACTAATAAAAACCAAAGTTGGGAAATTTTTAAGCATAAAATCTGTATCCACCTACATATAAGTATAATAATAAAGTACAACATTAATAATTTATTGTTGGCATTTTCCTATATTTAACTTATCTCGTGAACTTATTATCGGCAAGACCTCTTTATCAAAATTCTATATTATATTCATAGTTTACCTACACAAATAAGCCTGGCATAATACAAACATATAATGTGGTCGCCGTTACGTAGTGATGATAATTTATTTTCAGTGAAGAAACTTCATGGCACTCGGGCTAGATTCGAATGTATAATATATAAACACATTATTTGCAATGATAATTGGTAGGCGCTTATCAGTATTGCGGAGGCGATGACGCACGCGTTTCGAGGATAGCACGCAGTCGCTTGAATGTGAACACAAGTTGGTCAGGAAGCGAGCGATACTCCGGCGACGACCACGACGACAAAAACTTGTTTCTTAACGTGTTCTGCTGTACCAATTAATGTAGGTACTTACACTGTTTATAGATACTTATTTCTGTGATTTTAAGAAGGTAAACATCATACTGGCTATTTTGGTAATATCATCAAAACTTCGAAACTTGAATTATTCTAGGTTGTTCTTCTTTAATATATATTTTTTTATATATTTAATATATATGTTTGTCTATCTCAGTAAGTGAGTTCCTAGACAGGGAATATACGACGAGTTAGGAAGATAAATTAATTGGTTTGACATACAAAAATTACCCAGTTTTAGTAGTAGGTATCGATGATATCGCATCGAATCAAAGTTCAAAGCGTTTCTTTCGAACCTTACCACAAAATTTGGTTGGCGTAATTCTATGACGGCTGGTGTTTCGCGAATGGTATGTGAAGTGCGGGGGCGAGGGGCACTTGTTGCGTTGTTTAGTTGGCGTAGGCACCGCCTGTTGCCGACTGGCGACGTCACGTCACGACCTTGAGCTACACACGGGGAGTGTCTGTTTCTATATTGTCTCTTGCATCTGACAACACTCGTATCTTTACGAAAATTATATGGCCATTTCCATAACATGAGCGGGTGTACCTACATCTACGATATATCCCAGAATTCGAAAACAATCGCTTTACATGCGTAGTTTGCACGTCATCAAAATAACTATGTTTTCTTCACTTTTACAAAAAAGGCTTATTATTGCCAGTTACACATTTTACTGTTTGTATCAGGTAAAATTTTACTCACTGACTATTCTCAAACAAACATTTGGCAAGGCAGCTGTTAGTTTGTGATTCCACCCAGGCGCCATGAAGTCGCGTAGGCGGGAAACCATGAAACCAGTTCTGGTGCAACTGTAACAGGCTTAGCTTGCAAGACTTCACTAAAATAATATGAGCGGAATTAAACTGTGCGCAGTTTGAAAATCATTCCAGTATTAGGTACCGACATCTCTACCTAGAACTTAATTGGTATTATGCATTATTTACCTTGTTTCATACACTTGTGTATGTATTATAAATTATAATAAATGACGTCAATGTGTTGAGTATTTTTCAACATTTCTGAGTGAGACTGTAAACATAGGTTTCAGAATAGCTGTAGGTAGGTGAGTACATTACCTACCTACCGCATATTTGTGATGTTGTAAGTCTGGAAGTGACTAGACAAATCAGATTCAGTTGGTGAGCGTGAGCTAGCTCATTGTACTAAACAAGTTTGCGACTAGTGCGAATGCAGAACCAGCGGCGTCGTCTCCCCACCTTGCTCGGGCTTCCCTCGCAACCAGGTCATCGTTAACTTGCCCGACCGCTATGCCGCCAACCGACTCGTGGCCAACGCAGGCCACACCCCGTCCAATCTCTGATAAATAAGGCTAGAGAATTGAGTTTATTTTAAACTTTCTTACATATCTCACTTATCGGCGATTCCACTAAAATTATAGATAATCTACTTAATCATTTCTGTGTTGTCAGTACGAAGTAAATGCTCAGATATTCACAGAACCTACATTAATATCTACTTATACAGAAAACTTTTTTAAAATTAGAATCATTATTATACCGACGCCATTCTTAATACTCATACTTTATTACATAAAGCTGAAGAGTTTGTTTGTTTGAACGCATTAATCTCCGGTACCACTAGTCCAATTTGAAAAATATTTTGTGTTGGATAGTCCATTTGTCGAGGAAGACTATAAGGCTACAGAACATCACGCTGCGATCAATAGGTGCCGAGCACAGCGGTGGACCCTCGCGGAAGTAGTTTAGTAAACTTATTATAAATGCTTTTCCAAGTTCATTTCCGCGAAAAATTATAAAACCATTATAAGGTCGTCGTAGGGTCCTATAAGTGAATTAATATGACCTAGGTACGGTACTTGTTTCCGACCTGACAAGGTGTTTTTCTGTTTTCTTCTTCATTTAATTTCTCAATCAATAGCCTTAAATGTTGCATCTTTATAGAATCTCAAATACTTGAAGATTCTAACTCGGACTTTAATCTAAAACTACTCTAATTCACACAAGCTATTTACATTCGCATTTATGTGTGTACCTACATAATTATTAAAACTGGCATTAAGAGAATGGCGTCATTCTTCACGAATTCCGGCGTTCACGTATCAACGACTAAAATACGCCCGTATGTATGAATGTGACAATAATATTCGTGAGTCATTTCAAGCCGGGTAGCACTTGACCAAATAAATAAGCATTCGTTGTTCACGAGTCTTTCCTCAATGACGTTCATATATTTCATTGTGGTATTCGCAAAATTATTGTGTGGTCCATGTCGGAAACAAACTGATTAAAACCGCCTATTCCGTTTTTCTTTTCAATCTAAATTAAGTATTTGACTATGCATTGATCAGAATTTGCGGATACAATCTTAAATAGGTAGGTTTAATTATAAATTGGCCAACTTTAATATTTTTTACATGTATGCACATGCCTTTAAACTGTCAAACACCAAGCGGTCACCGGTGACCGCGACCTATTGTTCTTTAATTGTGTCTATAAAACCGGTACTCGACGAGTTAAGGTGAAGATTTATTGAAAAAACATGAAACGGCAACTTGACAACCTTCTTAATTATTAATTAAAAATGAGAATTATAAAGTGCTCTGAATTTTACGAAGGTTTTTAAGACTTCCTAGTCTCTTTTGTCTTCTAAGAAATATTTCCGTAAAAAAAGTAGGATAGACGTCATAGGGCCTCTTTAATCCTTTTCTTCGTTTTCCTAGACTCTTATGACTTAATAGAAAGTATTCAAAGCCTACTTTCACGTGATGTTATGTGGCAGTTATAAATTTGCTATTTATACAGTAGGTACAAACACCAACGATACCTATAATAACTATAATATATTATTATGAAGTACTAAACTAAAAAGTAATTGTAGATGATAAAATGTAATAGAAGAACTTTGTTACATTACAAGCTAATTTGATTTTTCTGAACTAATTATTGATTTAATAAAAACTTTGGGATCATCTCTCGTCTTGGATATTCGCCAGTGAGATGTTCCTGTTTCCGAGGTACATTCTTATCGCCCACACTTTCTATACTGTTAGCTACGGTGTTTATAAGTTAAATCAAACCAAATCAATATTCGCTCTTGAAATACATTTTTTTAGAAATGTTATGGTTATGCAGTATCTTACGAACAAACGTCCATAACGTCTGTTGAATAATTAATTTTGCTCTAAATGTTTTATTCTGATTTTCTGACCACGCGAGATGCAACTCATTTGGAGCTCTACTTACCGCAAAACATACTTACGTCATTTCAATAGATAGGTAAGTTTAAAAATGTGTAATTCGGATGCTATCTGCCATGATAGTTAAATGTAGATAGTCTAATCAAAGTAAAAACATTCCTTTGTAGAGATTTTACATTCCAAGTCTACATTTTATATTTATTTTACCTTCCTAATGTCGTGTACATGTGACGTGTACTTAGTGCAGGTATAGTCTAGTATGTACCTAATTGTAACCTATTTTTATTTAGTTACACAATAATAATTAATCGGTCTGCTGTGCCTAGTCGTCGTTGTGATAACATTAACGATTGTACATTATTACAAACCAACTTAACCCAGCCATAATCTTATTTCGCTGACGCAAATATATTTTGATAAGTTTATATCTATTTCTTGCTAAAAAGTACACATATTCAACTTCGAAATTCAAATCAGTCACTGATAAATACTTTAATACCTACTGATAACAGTATAAGACAGTGCTTGTATCGTGCGCGTAGTATTTATGTGAATAAAGAATATAGATAGGTAACTAGGTACCTACTTAGGAACATACTTATAAGGAATATCCTACTTTATCAGAGAAATATACTTTTTAGATTGCTAAAGGTTGATAACAAAGCAATGATTATAATGTTTTTGAATTTCAATTCTTTTATATTAATTGGATGATGTAAGTACCTACATATCTACCAACATTAAGATTAAACCAATATCTTGAATACTCATATTTAAATGCAAATATTTCAGTCTTTGTAAGTTGCTTTCTAGTTCAACATCAATAGTTTCTTACTTAGCCTCAACAAATGAAATAATTATTATGAGATTATTCATCTGTTGCCTCTGTTGAGTAAGTAATTGACTAATTGCGAGTATTTACAACGTTGATTACTTCATCGATGACAATAGAATTGTAACTAAACATTAAACACCAGGCGGTTAGGTACCTACTATGATAAACAACGAAAACAACATCTAAAAAGAAAATATTAAATATAATCATTTTGTAGCTGATCATAGGCAGCTTAATACTGGTCTTGGGCTCTATACACACAGACTGTTTTCAACTGCACTCGAGTACACGCGTACACAAGTAGCACACGTGGTGCGTTTTCAGGCAGTTGTCAGAACAATCATTGGAAATGTTACGCTAAAATTAATTGGACTGTAGTTGGTTTGCAGTTCTACTATAAAGCAGTGCAGTGAATTAATTGTAGAAAAATGATGACTAAATTATTTGATTGTATTATTTACTAGCCAGCGACTATGCACAAAAAGGTGATCCCTGTTTCCGTTTTTACCGTTTTTATGAGATTTTTTCTCTCAGTCCTCCCCAAAAACATGCACATGCTAAGTTTCAGTGTCCTAAGTCCTAAGCCCAGTAGTTTCCGGGTCCTAGTTTCAAGGATCGGGCGAGACCTATCTTTTACTCAAAATTGCAGAAAAGGGGCTTCTTTTGGCGATCCTGATCGTAGAAGTACTCGATAAGCCTCGGTGACTAATAAGTCCATACACTGCCTGCATCAGTAGGTAGATCTTTGAGGCCACAGGAGTATAGAGGCTTGGCTCAGCCGCACCACTTTCTTACTACCGGGTACAACCTCCTTACTTCAAGTTACAACCTCAGGAAAAGATAGTACAGTGATCACGTGTCACCATGTATGGCTCAGGGAGACAAGGTCTCCCTAGGAATGTGCTGTAATAGGCATTGCACCGTTGGGGTTATTATGTTGGTTTATTGAGAGGACCCGGTATCTCTTACAAATGGGGATGGTGGCCAACGTGGAGTGAGGTAAGAGTCTCACACTAATCACACTCGGCTTCAGTTTAAAAGCTTTTGAATGTTTCTCCAGAAAAAGGCCCCGTATGTTCTTTTCGGTTGTGCGTTGAATATCCGTCAGCCTCTCATTAATGGATGCTATAATTGATTAATAATGAAGGATAAAAATAATGTAAATTACCACGTCTAGTTATGTTATGAATAAGCATGCTTTAAGTTTGATGTATTACATGGTTATCAATATGGTTATCCTATGGACACTGGTTAAAATAACCACATCGAACTTACATTAAAGTTTACCGGAAGTGGTTTAACCACTACAATTAACAACAACGACGATGGCGATACTAGCCGACGATATTTGATGTAAAATAAGAACGATAGGACCTACCTACCTACTACCTAAATCTATCTAAGCATCGTATCTGTACTGTACCTACGTATAGTATACTAAGTAATCAATAATTACAAACACTACAGGGATAGGGACCAACCCGCCTACTTTGTTCTTGATATTAATACCTGAACTACATC